GTTAACGTAACGTAACGTAACGTTAACGTAACGTAACTTAACGTTAACTACTAACTACGTACTAACTACTACTACTTACTACTACTACTACTACTACTACTACTCTCTCTCTCTCTCTCTCTCTCTCTCTCTCTCTCTCTCTCTCTCTCTCTCTCTCTCTCTCTCTCTCTCTCTCTGGGGGATGTACCCCTTTCATGCTGAGAGCAGTCCATAAAATGGTCGGTGTCATATAATGAGGATTCACATGAATAGATGGTCCTCTTTTAACAGAAAAAAGGCACATTATCCTTTTCCTATTTTATTCCTCATTGGTCTTGGTCTTTCTTTGAGAGCATGGAGTAGTGGTGGTCCTTTTCAGGCCCACATTGGAGAGAATCGAGATGTCGACAAATACAAGAATTTAACGCAAATTTCAAAAAATATGTATATACATATATGTCTAGGGAATGGGTGTGGGATGATACAACCATACAATGGAATCAATTATTTTTTAAAAAGAATAACAGTCCTACAGGTGGTATTTTGTAAATATCAGAGATAATTTATTTTATTATGTCTTACAGGTATGCTGTTCTTATCTATTAATATTTTTAAAATATAGCAAATTGCGGGGTATATTTCGAGGTATACAAGAGTTTAAAAAAGAACGTGGTTTGCATAAGGTTGCCATGTTAACAATGTGCACCTTTAAATTTTATTATAAGATGCAATTTTAGTGTCAAAATTTATTAGGATGACCTGATAATCTATTTTCATCTCTAAAATTTTAAACTTTAAAAATGGTTCAAAATCAAGTAGATCTATAAACGTATGGAAATCTTTAAAATAGACGGTCTGGATAATGTATCGTAAGATGCACTATTTTTAGGACTCAAAATCTCTTTTTTTTCTCAATATTCATACATCTCAGTATCAATGTGATCAATTAGAGGGTTTTTTAACATTAAAATAGCCCTTTTCAATGATTTTTTAGGTGCACCATATTTGTACATTTTATAATAAACAATTTTCCGTATTTAAGAGGGTGTATAATATCTTTTTTCTTTTTTTTTCTTTTGTTTTTTTTTTTGGGGTAGTTTAGTGGTAGGAATCGAACTTGACTTGTAGGGTACCTAGAAATATTGTCTGGGAAATATATTACTGGCGTAATACGTTATTGACGTAATACACATACAAATGGATTGTTACTATTGGGTAGTATCTACATGCAACTTGAGAAATACATTGCTACTGTTTGGCTATGTAGGGAAGAAATATGGGAAATACATTACCGACATTTTGGCTCGGAAATACTATGTTAATTTATTTGCGGTATGATTTTTATATTTTCTATCATATTGGCAAAGATTGGCAAGTATTTAGCTATAAATACTTATTTTTATATTTTTTTATCTTTTTTATACTATTTAAAAATGCACCCAGTCATGAATTGATTTTTTAAAATATATTAATTTTTTACTTCATTTTCATGTGTTTTGCTTAACCTTGCTTTAAACATACACCTCATATATTTTTTTAGATTTTTTTTGTATTTTATAGTTTCTTTAAACTTTTTTTTTGTTGTTAGTGTACTCGGAACTACTCTGACCGAGTACTTGGCTGGGGGCATGGGCCAAATACTTGCCCCGAGTAGTGGTTTCCAGCACTGCAACCAGCCACGTACAAGCCCGATTCTTTGGGGACAATGCTTATTTGCTCTCTTTTATGGATAGAAGGGTCCGTTTTTGTGTACACGATAAAAAAAAAAGGGTTTGGTTTGTACAAGGGTGAGGCCCTAAACAATCAAAGTACGACATAGCCCTAAATAGTGAGAAATAAGATTTTTGAAATAGTAAAAATCTTTGTGAACACTTGAAAATAGTATTGCAAATTTATAATCATCTCCATTCTAAAATTTAAAGCTTCAAAAATAATGTAGATTGAGCAGACATATAAACAATTGAAAATATTAAAAATTGATGGCTTAGACAATGCATTACAAGATGCATTATTTTGCATATTTGAAATTTTTTTTTCTTTTTTTCATGTCTATACATCTGGAGGTTGAGAAGATCGATTTGAGGGTTTTTCAAAATCAAAACAACCTCTTCTAGTGAATTTTTTAGGCGCGCCTTGATTTGATTGTTTAGAGCCTCAACCTTATTTCTTCATTAATGAAGTCGTTTGTAACTATTGTTTATTAGTAAGTTATTTAAGTTTTAGATCATGGGCAGAGGGGAAGTGTTATAGAGGTAGTGGACAAAACTCGCTGCTTACAAGCTTTTGTCTTAGATTTGTCTCGAGGGTCTTGTACATAGGCTATATTTTATGCAAAATAACGAGCACTTAGCACGTTTCGTTCGCATGAAAATATTTTTTGAAAAATATTTTTACGTGAAAAAATTCTCTCATGTAGTCAAGTGTGTGAATATTTTCATACCAATTGGTTTTAGTACATCTTTTCATACCAATTGGTAACTAATTGATGTAAAAATATACTTACACTTGACCACATGAAAGAATATTTTCATGTGAACATGTTTTCAAGAAAACATCTTCACACAAACCAAATGCGCCGTTATTTTTTTATAGAAAAGGGTTCTATACTTTCTCTAGTCTCTAGAACTATAGAAGGTATATACTTCCCACATCTGTCCGGCGACTTTAGATCAAGGAGCCACTGACCGTTTAATTTAGATCCAATACCTCAGAGTATTTTATTTTTTATTTTTTAACAAAACATATAAGTATAAAATTTGGTACATGTCATCACCTTAATGGGGTGTAGCTAAAAAAATATAAATAAATAAATCCCAAAAAAAATGATTAAAATAACTATGAAACTTTCAAGGGTATTTTAGTTATTTTATTTTATCAGGAATATTTTTCATATTTTTCCAGGTGTGAGTGGATGCCCAAAATTTGGTGTCAAAATATTTGTAAAAACTTAAAAATAAAATAGTATAAAGGCATAACATTGTAATTGGGTCCATCTCAGTCGTTCATTCAAATCGGATGGTTGGATAGGGGAAAGTATATAACTTCTATACAGTTGAGAAAATGTAGAAAGTTTGCCCTATTTTTACATCAGTTTTGAACCTATTGGCATGAAAACTTACAATTAACATTCAAAAAAAAATTATGAATGGAAAATGGTGGTAGGGAGACAAGTTGAAGTTTTTTTTTTTCTTGAGTGTTCACTGTGTGAGTATTTACAGAAATGTACATGGTGCCCATGTACAAGTATAGCGGGACTTCTGCTCTATACAAGTGGGCCACCCGCCTTTGGGAGCATCCTTGCCTCTAGGAGACGAGTTGAGGTCCTTTTTGGCATTGTTTTCGAGGATGAAAGTATCAAAGATTATGTCAAATTTTGTTGTGCCAATGTTCAAAAAAAAATTATGTCAATTTTTATGTTTTTTTTTTCATTTTTTTTTTAAATTTTGACCCAATTATATGTTTTAAATGTCAAATCGTTTCATGTTGCAAATATCAAACGAACTTTTTCTTTTCTTTGTTTTAGTTTTGTGAAATCTAGGACAACAAAGTGCCCCAGATTTCAGGCTATCCCCATTTGTGGGGTGATCCAATATTCGGAACATCAAGGTATCCTATATTTGGTCTTGGACATAGTATGGAGCTGTTCAATTTCCTTCCATCGAACCCCTCCATAGCATGAAGCAGTCCGATGCCTCCAAAATTGGACCTCCTCATCTATTGGACTGCAACAAATTCCTTTTCTCTTTTGTTTTAAGTGCGAAATGAATAAATGGCCATGATTCCACAATGGATTTTGGTATGGTGTATGAGAGACAGGTTAGGAGGGTTGGGGAGATAGAGGTTGCGATGGCTTAGGGTTAGAGCGAGAGAGAGTTTGGGAGGGAGATTTGAGTTTCCATTGGAGATTTTAAGCCCTTTGGAAAAATTGAACCATATTTAAAAATATATGTATATCTATAAAAGAATTTTAGGCAGTTCGATATTAAAGACGTAAAAAATTCTCTATTTATTTTTGTATTTATTTTTAAGAATTCTCTATTTACGTTTTGAATTTTGTAAAAAGAATGATGCTAAAAGATTGAAAATGAATAGAGAATTTATTTTTAATTTTGAAAATTTACTGTTAAAATAATGGTGCCAAACTATTTAAAAACAAATAGAGAATCTATGTTTTAATTTATTTTAAAAATTCAAAATAAATTCTCTATTTATTTTTTATTATTTTGACATATTTTTTAAATTTTAAAATACATATATAATTTTAAAAAAAAATAAGAAATGAATAGAAAATAGAATTTCTAAACTAAATATTCGAGGAAATTGCAATATTGTTGGATGAGAATTGCAGACTTTATTGGCATGTTGTTAATGGAAGAGTTCTTTTTTGGCAAGTTTTACTTATTTTTTGACCAGAATCGCTGGTTTTCTAGCTATTTGCATTGATTTATGTTGAGTTCCAGAGAATTTTTTGATAAAAATAGTGGTGTTTTCAAACAAAATTGCACCCCTTTCCACTGTAGGTGCAACTTTTAAGACGAGAATCGTAGTTTTTACCGTAACTAGCTTAGCTTTTCTGACCTATTGCAACTTCTATGTTGGAGTAACTAATTTTCGGACGAGGTGAAGTTGCCTTCTTAGAATAACCAGAACTCGACCGAGTAGCCTTGACTCCATGGTACACAACATGTTAGGCAGCGAGTGACAAGACTCGCTAAACAAACCGAAGAATCGATTCAAAAAACATA